TGAGAGAGAGAGACTACTACGACGGTGGTGCTGTACTGTGCTGTGCTATGCTGTGCTATGCTGTGTTGTATTATGCTGTGCTGTAATATGCTGTGTTATATCCATGTTATATTCATGTTATTTATCTGTTTCTCTATTGTATATTAATTTTCTCTCTGGTTGATTTTATGGAAACATATAGGATAAGATTTTTTTTTATACCATTAATATACAGTATTATGTTTAGCCATACATTATGTTCAGTGATTCCTTATGTCTTATTGAAAGGCTAGACGTCGTACTCAAGATGACGTCGTACTCAAGAGAATGATGTACTCAAAGGAGATGATTTCGTACTCAAGCTTTTGCTCTCATAAACAAGATAGACATCGTACTCAAGGGGTTAATCACCGAATTTCTGGATTTTGGCTCTGTCGTACTCAAGGGTTTGGCTCTGTCGTATTGAAGGGTTTGGCTCTGTCGTACTCAAGGGTTTGGCTCTGTCGTACTCAAGGGTTTGGCTAGGCCGTACTCAAGGAATTGGTGTCATACTCAAGGGTTTAACTGTCGTACTCAAGGGTTTGACTGTCGTACTCAAGAGATTGGAGCTCTGTCGTATTGAAGGGTTTGGCTCTGTCGTAAGGGTTTGGCTCTGTCGTACTCAAGGGTTTGGCTCTGTCGTATTGAAGGGTTTGGCACTCAAGGGTTTGGCTCTGTCGTACTCAAGGGTTTGGCTAGGCCGTACTCAAGGAATTGGTGTCATACTCAAGGGTTTAACTGTCGTACTCAAGGGTTTGACTGTCGTACTCAAGAGATTGGAGTCATACTCAAGGGGTTAAGCTCTGAATTCAAGGACTGGCTGGGTCATCCTCCACCTGTGGCTGGGTCATCCTCCACCTGGCTTTGCTCTCCGGAAAATGAAAAATGCGAGTCACTGCAGATTTTTTTTTTCTGAGATTAATGGAAACCGGAGAGATGGTAGATTAGTTTCAGTGTGGGTTCTTCTTCTTCTTCTTCTTCTTCTTCTTCTTCTTCTTCTTCTTCTTCTTCTTCCCTCTCTCACGATGTTGACGTCAAACGTTTGTCCATACATAGATTGATTGGATAGATAGATAGATAGATAGATAGATAGATAGATAGATAGATAGATAGATAGATAGATAGATAGATAGCTAGATAGATAGATAGATACCAATAGTTACTGAGGGAGTTTTAAGGTATTGTTATTTAGGGCATTAACATAGAGTAATTAACGAGACTTTATTAAACGGGACCCAAAAAATTAGCTTTGGGATTAAATAATCTCTTCCCAATTAGTGATATTGTTGGCCCGGGTCCCATTTAACTCAACCAACCAACCAGGATTTATTACACAATTTACTCGTTACCTGATGGACTTGTTAAATGGCCTGGCTTAATTAGGTAATTGACCTTTTTTTTTTTAACTGAAGGTCGTATATTTTATAAAAGTTATTTGGATGGAGTTTGTGTATGTACGGGTTGAGTTACAGGTCCAGTGTGGATTATATGACCTGTATTTGGATGTTAATCGTGTATATACAGGTTGAGATACAGATATAGTGTGGGGTTACATAATAGCTGTATCATAAGATCAATCATGGCATCAAATTTACGCTGAGACTCTACCTAGAAATTTTTAAGAAACACTTATGGAATTTTACGTTTTACGGTAAGTTGGTCACAGCGTTTTGTTAAGGTGTGGTGTAGTATTAATGTGATTTAGTATTTAACTATTAACTTAATTCAACCAGGTAGATACATTCTTGACATCTCCAGTTACGAGGATTTTTTTTTTTTATCTTACGATCTTTTGTGATTCTGGACTCTGGCTCTCCCCTCCTCTCCTCCCTCTTCCTATTTGTCCTCCCTTTCTCTCCCCCTCCCTGCTCCCCGCCTTCCTCCCTACTCCCCTTCCTTCTCAAGTCCTCTCCCTCTTACCTGTATCTCTTCTCTCCCTTCTTTACCCCTCTCCCTCCTTATTTCCTCTCCCCATTCCCCTCCCCCTTACATTTACGACTTCTCCCTCTTCCCTACTCCATTCCCTCTTCCTCTCCTCCCCTCCCCAGTGAAGGCTTACCAATAAATTGCATCAATAAGGGAGAGAGAATGTGGGGTGATGAGTCTTTCCAGCCGGGGAGAAACTTATTACCAAACTTTGTGGCTTTTGTGTTGTTTTTATTGTTCGAAGGAGGGGGGAGGGGAGAGACTATGGGGAGGGTTGATAGGAAGGTGGGGAGAGGGTTTATGGGTAGGTGGGGAGAGGGTTTATGGGTAGGTGGGGAGAGGGTTTATGGGTAGGTGGGGAGAGGGTTTATGGGTAGGTGGGGAGAGGGTTTATGGGTAGGTGGGGAGAGGTTTATGGTGGAGTGGGGAGAGGGTTTATGGATAGGTGGGGAGGGGTTTATGGGTAGGTGGGGAGAGGGTTTATGGGGAGTGGGGAGAGGTTTATGGGTAGTGGGGAGGGTTTATGGGTGGGTGGGGAGGGTACAGGAGTTGTGGGAAGGGGTGATGGGAAGGGGGTGTATGTGTGGGAGGAGATGGTTAGAGGAGGGGTGAGGGGGATGATGGGGGGGTGAGGGATGATGGGGGGTAGAGGAAGGGTGAGGATGATGGGGGTGAGGGGATGATGGGGGGTAGAGGAAGGGGGTGAGGGATGATGGGGTAGAGGGGGGGTGAGGATGATGGGGGGTAGAGGAAGGGTGATGGGATGATGGGGGTAGAGGAGGGTGAGGGATGATGGGGTAGAGGAAGGGGGTGAGGGATGATGGGGGGGGTAGAGGAAGGGGGTGATGGGATGATGGCTAAGTCAGTAGGTCAGGTAAACAGAGTCTGAATTAACATAATCACATTTGATTTTGAACGTGTGTATGTATGTATATATGTATGTATGTATGTATGTATGTATGTATGTATATATGTATGTATGTATGTATGTATGTATGTATGTAAGTATGTGCTTCATTGCTTAGGACTGTATTTACAAACTATTTCAGCTTTTTTTTATTCATGTTGTATTTGTCTTTGTTTTTTATTTGTTTGACTTTTGTTTTATTTGTAATCATATAATCACCAGTTTTTCTTGCACTTTGTTATTTTACACCCAATGGAGACGTGAATGTACCACAGTGGGAATAGGATTACCTGTGTGGGTGTGGCAAGTGAGTGTAATGGGTTAATTAAAAGATTGAGTCTCAGGTGTAGGCGGAGTGAGGCAGTCTATTGTGGAGTATATTGTTGATTAACTCCCTGCAGAGCTTTGTTGATACTGAACCCTTGCTGGTGACGTGACTGTGTGTGTGTGAGAGAGAGAGAGAGAGAGAGAGAGAGAGAGAGAGAGAGAGAGAGCTGATAATGTAACTGTGTGTGTGATGATATAGGTGTCTGTGTGTAGGTGTGGGCTACAGGTGTATGTATATGTAGGTGTGGGCTACAGGTGTATGTATATGTAAGTGTGGGCTACAGGTGTATGTATATGTAGGTGTGGGCTACAGGTGTATGTATATGTAAGTGTGGGCTACAGGCGTATGTATATGTAGGTGTGGGCTACAGGCGTATGTAGGTGTGGGCTACAGGCGTATGTAGGTGTGGGCTACAGGTGTATGTAGGTGTGGGCTACAGGTGTATGTAGGTGTGGGCTACAGGTGTATGTAGGTGTGGGCTACAGGTGTGTGGTGAAGGTGAGGCCATCCGCTTTACCGCCCACCACCACCGATTAATAATTCGTCACAGGCCGGGATAGCTCCCTCAAAAATGGAAATGGTGATACCCAACTACTTATTGCAGGGGGGGAGGGGCGGTGAGGGTGAGAGAGATGGGGAGAGGGAGGAATAGGGGTTGAGGGAGAATAGGAGGAGGGGGTAAAGGAGAGGGTGAGGGAGAGGAGAAGGGAGTGAAGGGATAAGGGAGAGGAAAAAGGGTGAAAGAAGGTCAGGTGTGAGGTGAAGAGAGAGAGAGAGAGAGAGAGAGAGAGAGAGAGAGAGAGAGAGAGATATTTTTAATTTAACATCTTCATAGGCAAGATTGAGGTCCAATTCTGCCTTATCAATCAGGTCTTGACACTGAAGCTGTTATTACTGTCACGCTGGCCAGAGGTTCATACACAAGAGGAGATACTAGTATTGGTCATAGTCATTACTGTTATATTATAATTGAGGACTAATCAGTGTGGACGAACAAATTTAGGATAAACTGACGGAATACTGTATCTCTTCAAAAACTCCTGATTCAGTGTAGAAGTTACATAGTTCATGATACAGTAAGGCAGGTGGTCTGTAGTCTTTAATAGTGCGACATTATCTAATACAATGTTTAAGCGAATGTTTTAAAGGTGTATTGCTATGTTTATATGCTGAGTGTTACAGGTGAGAGAGGAAAGAAAACTCATCTGTATGGCTAAAGAAATTATTATTATTCCCAGCATTCATCCTACAACAAATAAACAAATAAAAAATAACTTGTTTCCCCTCAGAATACATTTAAAACAAATACAAATATAAATGTAATCGTTCTTATGAGAGAAAATTCTTAAAATGGTTTCCAGACAAGACACATTCACAACATAAGGCGCCTGGAACCTATGAGGCCAACCAACTGTTCCGCCACTGTCAATAAAAGTCTCTCTCTCTCTCTCTCTCTCTCTCTCTCTCTCTCTCTCTCTCTCTCTCTCATATATGTTCAGCGCCACGCCTGAAATCAAAACCATGTCGAGTCGTGGGCGTGGCCAGATGGAAGTATGTGTGTTTTATCACCATATGAGTGATCAGTAGGCATGGGTGTGGTCATAGGTGTTTCAGATGGGGTGTGGGTATGGTCAGATGGTCGTAGGTGTTTCAGGAGGGGGGGGGGTATCAACTCAACTTTCACTACATCTTGCTCTCTTATGAGGGGGTGAGGGGAGGGGGACGTATAGGAAGGAATGTGTTCTTAGAATTATTATTAGATATATTATTTGTTGTAGTAGTAGTAAATGTAGTACTGTAGTAGTATGTTTAGGATTTCAGCACTGTAGTTGTAATAACAAAAATAATAGTAATACAGTAATGATGGCAAAAGTAATAATGGTAGTGGTAGTAGTATGAGTAGTTGGTTATAAGAGCATAGTTTTAGGGAAAACATTATGAAGGGTTGTGTGCTTCCTTCCCTTGATCAGGAAAAAAATGAAAATCAGGATCTAAATTATGGATTTTTTGGTTATTCAGGCTGTAATTATCCGGTGTCTCCCGGTTTATATGTACAATACTGCATTTATATTGGACTGACTTGGACATTATCTTACAGGGTGTGTGATTGTGATGGTGGCGGCCCTGGTGGGATGTTGCTTCTGTGTAGAGATGGCCAAGATCACGGACAAGCATTCCCGAACCCTGACATCTTCCACCCTGGAGTGGGTGGACCTGGAGTCTGGCCAAACTCCGCCTTCCAATGCCCTCACCATCACTGAGGATGGACCTCTGTGGTGCCGGGCACGACATAGTGCCAACTGGATATCTGGAGCCGTGAAGGATGGCAAGTGCCACATTCCATTTATTAATCAAGTGTTTGAGAAGCTTGAATATGAGGTGCTAGTGTCCATCAATGACTCAGCCAGAGTGGTGCCCAAGGAGTGGGATCGTCTCAGAGCTATTCCTCTTCATGGAATCACCACCTCAACAATGTTGCTGGCCATCGCCAAGTCTGATGAAGGTGATGTCTCTCCTGGCTACGTCGACTCTAAAAAGCGCCGTGCTTATCTACTGAAGGATGGCAAGTACCAGGAACAGACCAGTGCCACCATTTTGACTGAGGACGAACCCAAGAGTTATAAAGTGGATCACGTGGTGAGGGATGAGGAGCACAGTCAGACCACCACTTCAGAAGAAGTTGTGTCCAATACAACATTAACCAACCCGGGGGTAGAGGAACAGGAGATAAGCGAAACGCTGGACTATACCGCCAGGGAGATTGTTTACTGGGGTCGTGTTAGGGGAACTATTACTGGCCTGGAAACTACTGTCATGGATCCTTCAGGGAATGTGAAGGAAATCACCTGGGGCATTGAGAATGAACTGGCTCACATGGTGCAGCAGCTGGTGAAGTTTAAGTTGCCACCTGGTGCTGGCATCAATGTGGACTTAATTGCTGTAATGCATAAGTATGAAGCCCCATACTTAGCCAAGTTGACAGCCGTGTATGAAGATGAAGTACGTCGCTCACGCACCATCACTGGCCTTCATATCCACACTTATTTGGCTGAACTACGAGCTAATTTCTCGAGGCCTTTTTACCTCTCAGACAATACTGAGATTGAAGGAGAATTTTTAACCTCACAAATTCTTGTTCACTCCACCACGACCACAACCACAACTACCACAACACCAACAACTGATGGAGGTTCAACCTTAGATGATAAAAAGCCTCAATCTGACTCCTTAGCTACGACAGAAAGTGAGAACCAGCTGCCCACAGCCCAGCAGGTGAGCGCAAGTGATACAACCACAGCGGCACTGCCAGGACTCGTGTTATTATGTTGTTCTCTTTTGTTGGTATTCCATCTACCTGCCAGGCACTGAGTTGGTTGTATACAACACATATAATGTCTGAGTCTACCACAACTCATCCCCCACTTCTGCATAATAGCAGCAACACCCGGTTGAGTGAACAACGTAAGGCAGATGACAGTGGGAGTGACTCCGAGGATCATTTTTCATCATATATATTCACTCTGTCATCTGCAGGTTCCGGGAGTCCTGTATACTGTCATCAGTATTTATTGCAAAAGAATATCACTTGACAATTTTCAGTATTATAAGCTTGCTGTAAATTATATATGATGTTGTCTTAAGCATACTGGTATCTTTCACATTGAGGGAAGAGTGTAAGTTAGAATCTTTCAGGCATATTAGTACTCACAGGAACTATGTAAAACTTTCTTTTGATCTTGTGTAGAAGTGTTATCCCTTGTGCTGCTTCACTCGTCTCCACCTTGTGGAAATAAGACAATCTAGACTTAGTCAGAAAATATTAATAATAACCATAGAACTATTGATAATGTTGGATGTTGTAGTTTTCAGTCTCATAATTATTACTTATGTGTGTTTGTGTAAGGCCAAATATTCCTCTTGATCTTTGGTCCAGAAATAGGCAGGCAGCCTTATTTATATTATTGTGAACTAACAGTAGCCAGCCTTTGTCAGTTTTAGTATAATTTCAACTCTATGTGTGTCTGACTCATAGTCAGAATTGTTTTCTCTTCATGGATACACTGGTGAGTGTTGTACACATGTGGTTGGTTGCTAGTCAAATGGGCCCAAGTCCTGTAGGTCCCAGTATTGAGTCCCCAAACTAACCTAATCTAACCATCAGGATTGGGGCCCATTAAGACTGGGGTCTATTAGGTGTGAGCCCAAGTGACCAGTCAACACACATGTTTTGTCTGCAGTATAGATAATTAACAATGGTGTCTTTCCTCCATGTACTCTAGCATAATCTTTCTGAAAACTCATTTGGAATAGATATTTATGCAAGATGATGAAGCTGGGTAGTTAATCTTGACTGGATCCACGGCAATTTATGAGAATTTTTTTTTATAATTATCATATTATGTTTAGTGAGATTGTGTTAACCATTTGATCTTCCATCGTCAGCCTCAGTAACTACAATACTGTACTCTATTGTACAATAATCGGTATACAGGTATTTAATGTTGAGACAGTTCTGTGCACACACACCCACGTTGAAAGTTCACTTTATATATATATATATAAATAAATATATATATATATATATATATATATATATATATATATATATATATATATATATATATATATATATATATATATATATATATATATATATATATATATATATATATATATATATATATTGATACAAAATGTAAATGGTTGCTTTGGTGTATTTAATTTCCTTATGAAGACATAATTATTGAGAACTTTGAACTTCGTGGAATAATGACATTTTTCCATAGGTGTGGTTTTGATGACCTACTTTATCACATTAATTCACACAGAATTGGATACAGTATTATTGTCAGAAATTTGTACTTACAACAGTACATTACCTTCGGAATCAACACTTTAATTATACTTTAATTAATTGTTTGAAAAATGGTAGACAAGAATTTGGATTGTTTATAGGAATATTTATAGCAGAAGTTGGTTCAGTATTGTGTTGTCAAGTGTTTCACGTCACAGTGGGGGCTCAAGAGCAGTGTTGCTCCACCTGTGATAGACTGGAGTACTGTACAGTACTGTACTCCAAGTGGATTATAGGTCATATAAACCCTTATTCTTGATAGGCTGCACCTAATTTAACCTGACCTAGCCATTAGGATTGGGGTATAAAGGGCTATTGGGGTTATGCCCCATCTTAACGGCTTGGCTATTTAGGGTCTGTAAGAACTGAACAGGGGAACATTCAGCCAGTGAACACATTGTCTTGTATTAAGCTAAGAATAAGGATTAATTTGGTTCTTTTTTGGAGGCTTAGGTATGGTGCACCTCCCAGATAAATTTATCTAGAGAAATATTGTAGCATAGAGATAACTAGTTGTGTTTGAATTAGATTATCAACCACAATGATGGAATTCTTTTGCCAATAGATGCAAGTTTTATTTTTTTACAAAAAGAAAAAAAACAAATATAATGCAAAAAATACTGGATGCCTGCATAGTTTGGTTTAAAAGATTAAGTCCAAACACCAGGTAATTATGCTTATGTTTTTGTCAATATCTTTATTTTCTTTATTACATGTGTCTTGTAGGTATTCAGGAACTGTGTAAGTTAAACCTGAGGGTATACCAATGAGTGTACTGTACTGTATACAGTATTGATTTAAAGTTTGCACGGTATTATCAGGCGGCCAACCAGATTATCGAGAACAATTACAATGTACAGTGGGTGTTCCTTGTGGAGGTTTTAATTTTTACTGTCTGTATAAATTGATGACTCAAGGAAGCAATGAAATCTGTATTGTTGACAATAGTTCAGGAGGATTTAAAATAATATCAGAAAATATAATTACTTGTACAGTACAGATTTTGTGTACAGGTAATTATATTTTTATCTTATTGTAGATCTGAATATGAAAGGCTGCAGAACATTTAAAGCATCATTCAACAATATGGCTTTCATCACTACACACATCCTTCCCTTTATGAGAAAACTATTTACACTATTACCAGCAACCTGTTGTTTTGTAGCATAACTATTTACACTTGATAATTATCAGTGTTATTCTTCCTTCTGAGATGAATAAGACACAATTATGTACATTGTAGGAAAATTTATGTTTTTTAAAGAAATTTTTGTTTGTTTTAAAGGAAAATTTGGAAAACAAAAATACATCAAAGCTTATTTCTTAAAATGATCATAACAGACATTTTGGGGGGGTCTGAAAAAAATATTATTTTGGGGGGAAGTTGCCTGCAAGTATTTTGGGCATCATTTCTGTAGCCCAAGTTGTCCTGATGCAGAAGGTTGATGAAATGTACCAGACTTTATGAAGACCTATGGATTGTTTCCCATTATTTTTTCCTCACTTGTTGCCTTGGTTGTGGGTTAAGTAGGCCCAGTTCTAAGAGGCTGGAGTCTAACCGAACTTAATCTAACTTTTAGGGTTGAATCCTTTAAGATTAATGGTATCCTTTAGGACCTGGGACCTCTGACCTGCAACTGTGCACTGAGTTGATTACTTTCAGAAAAGACAGTCCTTAATATGTAGGAGTTAAAAGTAGTGCAGGTACATGATATTATATGTACTGGTGATATATTTTACCATTAAGTGTATACAGTTGAATGATAATGTTTCTCTTTCTTACAAGCCTATTCTCACTAAGACACAGAACCAGAATCAAGATCAACAGGTACTCCTCCCCCTTCACTAGCATTTATTTCTTTTATCTACCTTACTAAATGGGTTCTGGTATGGTGTTCCCCTTCACAACATGACCTCAGCATATCTACGTACATTATCTAGTGTACCCTTTCTCTTTATTAATTTGTACTACAGGTACTGGAGTTTCATTTATATATCAAGGATACAAATTTTATGTTTACATTTTTTTCTTTATACAGTACAGTAATAGGAGAAAATTGTGAATCCTAAAGGTTAACGGATTATTTAAACTTTTGTCAGTTAAACCCTTTTTTCAACATATGATATTTTTATGTTTTAAGAACAGTGAAAGATTCCTTTTTTTGTTGATGGAAATATGATATAAATTTACTAGAGATAAAACTACAGTACTGTATTTAATTTTAGTTTTGTATCTCTAAACAGAAACATTAAGACGACTAGTTATTTTGTTCAGGGTTTTAACTAAGTGTTTAAGTACTGTAGAAGACCCAGAGAGGATTTGAAGAGGCCAGGGATGAAGAGGTCCATGACTTATGCAGTGTGCAGTAAGATAGATCATCAAACATACAGGATGAACTACAGTGTTTCCTCCACTTACGATGAGGTTCCGTTCCGACTATCAGGTCATAAGTCGATCGAGTCGTAAGTCAAACCGACGAAAATAATACATAGTACAGGTAATAATTGTAAAACTTTTACCTTTTTAATACACAAACTGAGCGGGATACGACGTGGATGCTGTACACACGCGGCAGCGTGACACCCGAAGTTGTCGTAAGGCATCGTTAGACATTACGACCAAACGTCTAGAATTCAAAAATATTGTAAAATATTTTAATATAATATAACAACAATGACCATCTAAAGTCCGGGTTGTCGTAAGTCACATATGTCGTAAGTCGAGGAGAGACTGTACATTGATTTACTGTGTTGAGAAGAATTAGAATACAGTTGTGTTCAGAGATAAATTAAGATTGAGTTAATATTTATTCTGTTGTCAGATACATGAAGACTTTACAAGAGAAACAATCTGATGTGACCCATATGTCAGTTGGCTCAATCAGTGTGGCCAGCAGTCAGTTCTGAATAAAAACCCTGGTTATATGAAGACCCTGTTTATAACTTATTTGATATATCCCAGCTAAGTTACTGGCATTGGTTGTATCTATGAAACTATGAGTATTATATGTATTAAATGCTGTACCTGTATACGCTTATTGTCACATGCATAAGACAGGCAAACAGTGACGTCTATGGTATCTATTACTGCTGGTTGTGTTGTGTGAATTAAAACTATATTTTATTTATGATATTGCAATGTTTTATGCTTTAAATCCTTCATCATTTTATTTAGTGCACTGAAGTGACAAAACTACAAGTTTGCTTCCATCAAAAATTCAGAATCAGATTTGGGTTATCAAAGCGTGGATCATCAGCTCCAGCTTGTCATTTGAATATGTATAAGGATCTTCAGAACCTGGTTCTTTAAAATGTGGACTTTAAAGGGAGTTTAGATTCAGTTTTCAGACATTTGAAACTGAGTATCTCTTGTTAGCTGATAAAACATGCCATGACATGAAAAAATAACATATTATACTTTATAATTATAGGGGTAAAGGTGAAGGATTGTTTTGATTTATGTGTAAACCCAGGAATTTGTGAATTACTGTATCCAGAACTAATCTAAATCTGGATTGTTGTTCAAATTAGCCTCTTTTTTTTAAGTTATTGCCACGACAGCTACAATTCATACAATTCTTTTCAATGGAGTATATAACCAATATCCTTTTACAGTGGTTTTCTTTTGTTCATCCAAGTACCAACTTCAGATTTAAACCATAATTCTCATTCATGTGTCACATAACTATGAGTAAGATGGTAAGCTAGAGGGTTTAAGGCCTCATTTACCCATTACAGTACATACTTGTTGTTCTATGTTGTTGTAAATTATTTGTGTTGTCCTTGAGTCTCACTAACGTACTGGTGCACTACACGAGGCAAATTTCAGCTGAACGAAACCATGAGCCTGTAATACTGTACAGTATATCAGTGCCCTTTATGAGGCTAACTTCAGCTGAACAAAAAACCAAGTCTGTAATGTATTAGTGCACTTTATGGGGCAAACTTCAGCTAAACAAGACCTTGTGTCTGTAATGTACTGGTACATTATAGGAGACAAACTTCAGCTAAACAGGACCGTGTCTTTGGTATGTACTGTTGCACTACATGAGACAAACTCATTTGAACAAGATCTAACTCATTGTGTAGCTTCTAGAAGCCTTCATGGCTTACCAAGAGGCAAGTAGAACTTATAAAGAGCCTCCATATACTATAGCTTCCAAGAACCACTGTAGAATTAATGGAACATAAACCATAGAAGCAGCTACAATGCTAACTGGAGTGTGATTCCTTGGGTAGTAAGCCAACATCCAAAGGTGACTTCTGAAGGTTGTAAAAGTTTCTGTGTACTGTTCTTAAAAGTTAAATTAGCATGTATGAGCCTAAACTAGCTTAAAGGAACATCTGAGTGGTTTAAAGGAATGTACCATAAGTCTACAAAACTTAAGTGAGATTCTCTACTGTCAGATTTGATCCTTTTACTTAAAGGAAATTCTGAGTGGCATAAAGGAATTACAGTTATAAACTTAAATTAGAATCTGTATTACTGTATTGACCATTTAATGTGTGTAAGGACCTCAGATGAGCCTGTGTTTGGGGAGGCTGATATAGGCCTAGTCCGACTGTGATATGTAAGAGAATAGCAATTTGTACCCACCAGGAACTCATGGTTCTAAGGTTCATGATTATATATACAGTATATTAAAAAAATGCCACACGTTTGTAAAATGGTGATTGTGATGGAATGGAGGGAACTGTGGCTATAAATGAGTTAGTGTTTTCTTACTTTATGATTTTCCTTCACTTTTTTTTTAGTTTGGCATGTGAATGTAGTCTTTAAAAGTACACTGTACTGTATATTGTGTACATTATACGAGTTCATGATTTGGTTTAATGTTTATTTAGTCTTAACCAGGCAGCTATACCATTGGTTTAGGCCATTTATGTACAGGTATAATGGATCTCTTCATCATAATAAAATGAATATATATTCGTGAAAATCCAATTATAGTCAGCATATATTTATATTCAGTTTTTAACATTCGTTGGAATTTAAATTAAAGATTTATGGTAATCATGGACCTTAAAAAAATAGACATTAAAATTATGGTAACACCCTACAGTACTTGTAAAGAAACAGTTGTTGGAGTTTAAGCATCGCTTTGTTCCCCATGGCAGGGGTGATGATGGCTCTAATGTATATATTGTACTTGAATAAATCAGTAAACAAAAATTTTCTTTCCTTATCCTCCATTTTGGCTGCCATGACTGCCTTCATGAGGAGTCTATTGTGTACCTATATCTATACTCACATACACCGTGTTACCTGTACTTTGTATTATGCTGCAGTGTGAAAATTTAATGTACAATCATAAAGTTGCCTGGAATTACCTCATTTGTACAACATCTTTCTTCTATTGAGTAATTTATCCAGTGTTTTATGTTGTTTCTTTCAAATTTTAATAAAGGCCACGAATAGGAAATGCCCGGACAGTATTATTTGTTTTATTTATATACAGTATACTGTATTGTATTGCTATGTAGGAACTTCCATGGAAATTGTATTTGTAACAGTTCTGAGACACTACATGGGCTGACACTCCTGTGAAGGGAGATGCAAGTAATTCATATCTCACCACATTAATAGAAGAATGTGTTTGTTAATGCCCATTCTTTTCTTTTATCCTCTTCACCACTGATCGGCTTGTTAGCTCGTTCTTACTTGAATGAGATGAATAATACTTCAGTTTTCAATCATGATTATAAATTTACTTAATTATTATATATTTTTTCATATGAGAGAATTAGTACAGTACATGAGGCGAGAGACACATTGCCTACTACTACTACAATTACTTAAAACTCTTCATAAGTGAGGATTCTTTGTAATGGAATATTTATTAGTAATAACTGGCTAAACTCAAACACTGTGTAACATGCTGGTGTCTAAATTAGCACAAATGATGGATAATATAGTAGAATTTAATTGTCCTTTATGTACATTACAAATGACAGTGAGTGAAGGTGAGAAGGCTGACACAAGAGCCAACTAGACACCATAAAAACCTCACTGTACACCTCACTCCATGCTGTCACCACCAGGACTGTTGTGAGGTGTTGACATGGTGCTAACTTTACCAGTGACCACAAATATTTTCTTCAAACCTCCTCCTCCTCCCCCATTTATATATGAGGTGGGTCAGAAACTTCCAGGAAGGGGGGGTGAGGGGGTAAATAATATAGGACAAATAGTGCAAGACAAAGAGTAGGAGGAAAAAGTGGCAACACAGCACACAAAGACTTGACACATTCTTGTATACTCAACATGCATGCAAGGTATTAGATTGTTAGGAACAGTAGTACAATAGTTAGTAAGATAGTTGGTAATCCTGGAGCAAATGGCTAACATCAGAAAACGTTGTTCAATTTCGTTAATTTTTTCCACAGATGTTCTTTGAATGATAGAAAGTAATAAAAACGATGTAACAATGCACAGAACCTGACCTAACCAACCAATGAAACCTACCTAACCCCCATCCATATTAAACAGAAGGTACCTATTTTGATCTGGTAACCGTCCAAATGTCACTGTACAAATCTATGTACTTACTGTATGTGTCACTGTGTGTGTGTGTGTGCTGCTCCTCCTCCAGCACTAGATGTTGCTCTCCACAGATGTAAAATCTGCTGTTTCTCAAGCCAACCCTGTACTCAATAGCTCGCTAACGAGGGTAACATCATCAAAAACTAATGTCATTCTTTGTGTATATAAGGATATTTGTATGTTCTAGTCTGTGGATAGTGTATATGTGTATTTGCACTTGAATTTGAGACTTGTTGTTGAGTGAGGCGGTTGGATTAGGGTTGTAAGTAATTTGGGAGTTGGGAAAGGATTAGTTTTAGAATAGTAGGTAACTAAGGGGGACATTTGAAGGAAGCAGGAGAGTAATAGTATACGGGTTCAACAAGATATGCTGTATTTTAAGATTCTGGGCTCATTTTTTGTACTACTAATAATTCTAGCTCTCAGGCCATTCATATTTCTCGAAATCATGTTTCGTCGCTGCAGTAGCCAATATTCCAAGGAAGAGGAGACGATCTCTGGCCAGGTTCTTTATGGAGCTGGCTGATCATAGACATACTGTAGTATCTTTTGCTTTAATAAAGGTGGGAAGGGAAAAGTTTTTGCAACTTGCTACTTTGGTTCTCAGGGAGGTGGTCCTATCTTTTTATTTAATTGAACAGTTTGAAATTTGTATTGGTAGTGTTTTAATTGGCTATTCATTTTATCCGATTTTTGGGGTTTTATTTTGTTATTATACCGTTTAAAGGTTGGTAGTTATATCTTGGTATTGGTGTTCGGTTGGGTCTGAACCATGAGTGTTCTTCTATCACTGTTAATTTAATTTTTACTTTTATACTCTTCTTTCTATTTCATTATCGAGCCGGTTAGTTACGGTTTCTGACGAGCTTTACTACTTATTCCCATATATGTGCGCGTACGCATCTATATATATATATATATATATATATATATATATATATATATATATATATATATATATATATATATATATATAGGATCCCTTTAAAAAACAGTGGCCGCCATGTTTAAATACCCTCTCACGTCAGACGCAGGCCACCCAGCTGACTCTTTGTTTACTAAAACAGTCTCTAATTCGCTATGGGATGGCGAACCTTGTTCGGTTTTCTTTAATTTTCACCAGAATTCATACTAATCTTATATATAAGCGTCTGTAAACAGGATAATTTTTCAAATACCCTGTTAACACGGTGTGATATTGCAAGTTGGTGTAGGCTGAAGGCTGAAGCGGAGTTACAGGTATAAAGTTCTTCAGATTGCCTCTTTTCATTCTTCGCCAAGGTAAGCAAGCCAAAATTTCTTTAAGAGTGGACTGGACGAGGCCGACGAGCAGTTATTGTAGGCTCGGATGTTCGGGGTATCCTTTCCCACAGTTGCTGGCTGTGTTTTCTCTCTTGTTATCCCAAACAAAATTTACCTAAACAAATTGTCCTAAATTTAACCAAGATGTTGAAACATACGTTCGGTCATGCGTTGAACATAATGGGCAACGTAATTTCAGTAAATGGGACAACTAAGTAGTGACAGCATCAAACACTGATACATACTTTCTCTGCCCATTTTAGTACCACACTTGAAATATTCACACCTGTACGTTATGCACATCTGGACATAAATAAAGGTAAATTATCAATATTTCTTGATACAGACCGACGTGAGTGTCTTACATGTAGGTAAACTGTATTACGTCACTTTGTCTTAAACTGTTGTAATCAAACTAAGCTGTTGTTTAATTAATTGTAATGCCAGTTAAGATTGCATTTTACCCCACTTATTTCTGTGAGCTTTAGATCACGACCCCAAATTAATGGGCTTTAAAAAATTCCTCAAAAGTAATATTATAAAACATGATTTGTTCTAATTATAAAATTATTATTATTATTATTATTATTATTATTATTGTTATTGTTGTTGTTGTTGTTGTTGCTGTTGTTGTTGTTGTTGTTGTTATTATTATTATTATTATTATTATTATTATTATTATTATTATTATTATTAATTATTATTATTATTATTATTATTATTATTATTATTATTATTATTATTATTATTATTATTATTATTATTATTATTATTATTATTATTATTATTATTATTATTATTATTATTATTATTATTATTATTATTATTATTATTATTATTATTATTATTATCCCAGACACGACTTCGATAATACTTAACATTTCCGTCACGCTCGAGCGACGACGAAATAAAATTACAGATTGGATTAGGGAGACACTTGGTAGTGGAAGCGACCACCACACAATCACCCAGCCACCCCACACGCGTATCTCACCATCTGTTTGTCTATACCTCCCGGTCTATCTCACTATCTATCTATCTATCTAGCTGTGTGTCCAATTATATATCGAATATTTATATATCTATCTGTTTATCTAGATACCTTTCTATCTATTTCTTTAACTGATTCAGGACCTCTCTAGGGTGGTTGGAATTACGAGTTATATACTACCCATCATTCACCGGTATCCATTCTTTCTAATTGCGTCAGTAAATATGCTTTTGAACACCTGAAGATTAGACACCCCAGCTTATTTCACATGATGATTAACCACCTTAACACTACGTTAACGTTAGATGAGGTTAGGTTGGTTAATTTTCTAGTAAAATAAACTGGGGTGTTTAATACTTCATGTAGTCCGTGTTTTGTTATGTTCATACTCCACAGCAAAGTCGGAAGTTTGTCTGTGGTTGCCTACATCAACCCAAAGCCGTTCGACGCCAGGTCTTCCGGTGATACAAGGAGTACCCCCCCCCCCTCCCCCCTCTCTCTCTCCTCCCAGACTGAGAGATAATTTCTACTCCTTCCTCATCTGACTCCTCTACTAACCATCACCAGTCTCGAGCGTATTATCAAAGATTCCTACACGATTTTCCTCGTAATTCATGTGAGAAAACCCCTAATGCGCTCGAGATGTAATTTATTTTATTTTATATTATATTATATTTTTTTATTTGATCATCAGTAGCGTACATAAAGTCGAGTGTCGTATACCTGAGTTGTGAGATCGTCGGCTGTATATAAAGGTGTGGGTCAATATTATTCCATTATGATTCTCACCTTCCGTAGAATGTTATCATCCTTGGTGGAGATTCTGAAGGATTTTACCCTAACTTTTAACGTATGAAAGCATCTAACTGGCTCATTTAGATTATGAAATTGATTGAAATGAGTTTTACGTTCATTTTCCCCCTAAGTGATTGCTTAAAAACACACTTCCTGGCTCGTTTAGGCTAAGAAACAAAGATGAACGTTCAAGAATTCTTACGTTAAATTTATTCCATTATCCTTGACTTTAGAACACATCAGACTACCTGTATTATAGTTACAACATAAATATAGTGGCGTAAATAGCATCGAAATTGCAGCGTGGAGTAACCAAATGTGTTATCGATAAATTGAACGAACGATTCTTGGAGTATTTGGCTACGCTGTTTGGGCTTAAGTCAGCTTGTGTGTGGAGGAGAATGTTAATGAAGTTAGGAAGGGGAACTTAAGGCAGGTTTAGGAACACTTCAAAATTCCACTGAGGTAGTAGAAAAAAAAGAGACTTCAGAGACGATGAAAGATTTATATATTAATGGTAGCTTGGATATACAGGTATACT